GGTTTTAAAGAGGGAGGAGAACTGGAGAACCAGGGGAAAACCCCTCAAATCAAAAAAAGGAGAGACCGAACAAACTCTACTCATTTGTCACAGCAAGTCAGGGATTCGAACCAGAGACCTTACGAGAGGCGAGTGCACTAACGCTAAGCCACACTTGATTCCCACTCTTCCTTAATGACGGCTTACTGAGCATCCGATGGCAACGTGCTGCTTTTCATGATTCTGCGTACCTGGAAACTTCGCTTTTACGTGTTTTTTTTTTTTTGTTGTTTTCCATCTATCAAATTTACGGACGGAGTAAGTGATTGTTTTGAACGAAGCAATACAATCAGAATTGGATTTTTCCCTTGTTATTCTTCATATGTTTTATGACATTTAATTATTCTCTCCATGGTAGGTCATTCTCTTCGATTCCCAAGAAGAAGATCCAGAGCTACAGCACCATTGTCGAAATGTAAGCCAGTCTCATTTTGTTTCTTATACAGTTGATACATTTATCTTAAAACCAAATTCATATGAACAACACACTGTAGCATGCCGTGACCGTGACGGCACCAAGTCACACCATTTTCATTGGCCGTGATCTCTCGCGTCCCAATTGGTTAAAGAATGTCTATTCTATACCGTGATGGTGCCATGTGGCGTCTTTTAACTTTTCACAGTCATGCGAAATCTACTTTATTAGAATTCGGATATTTCCAATTACATTAGAAAAGCCCTCTTTTTTGTCATTGTTATAAAAATTTTACACCTTGGCTAGAGTAGCCTGCATCAACGCAGGCTAGGGTAGAGCGGTTTTCGTATGAGTGGGAAAACAATACGACAAGTTCATACCCGCCCTTAACCGTACCGTATCTTACCGTTACCGTAACTATGCGTGTGGTTGGATCAATTACTGAGACAATAAAGACAATAGGAAGCCATTTCAATGTAACGGCTAACCTAACCGTTATGTAAGTGAGTGAGTCAGTGTTGCGAGAGAATTCTTGCCCCCAAAGGTATTGACAAATAGACTGAACATTGTAATACCTCAGCTCTACCGTTGCTGTCCTGGCTGGAAAAACATCGAACTGAGGGCCAAAAATTTATCATTTTTTCTGGTTTCATTCCAGACTGTCAGCTACATGGGTCAAGTCGAACTGCCGGACGAGTTTTTACCCCGTGCTATTGAAGAAGTTAAGAAGGTAGTCATCCTAAAGGGCATGGGATATATAGAGGCTTTGCAACACCACGTGATTGCAGTTATATCATTTAACAGGAACAATGATTGACTTGAGAAAGAATTCAGTTTTCCTGGAGGAAAAGACTATATTGTTGTGCATATCATATATCCGTGAAAAAGTTAACTAACAAAATTGTACAAATTAGTGCAAAGTTTTGTAGGTCTACGGTCTACTGAGGTCTACTGAACTCACTAATTTGTGCAAATTTGTGCACAATATATTTGAGTTACTTAGGAGCCAGTTTTCGCTTAGAACTAGTCGAAAAAGTTTGTATTTAGTTGTGTACTTTAACCTTATTGTTTTAGATCGCTAAACAGAACTTGTGGTACGCAAGAAAAAGCATCTTATCCTATCTTCAGGTAAATGAATAATATTGAACTTCAGATCCGAAGACGAGTACGAGAACGAGTACGAGTTTTAAAATCGGTCCTGTGCGTGTGGTCAACACTGAATCGTAGTGGATTTCCCATTTTTCGCAATCTAATGTTTTTATCTATGACCTCGACTACAGAATTATAATGCCAATCTCTAAAAGTTAAAAACTTGTACTTGTTCTCGTACTCGTCTAAAGGTTAAGGATCTAAAGGTCTGTACCTATTAGATACAAGGCAGCCAGAGTATGATATAACAAGCATGAGGGGATGGGCTCGACAAGATGCCATATGTCTATTGGTAAAGAATATACTAGGGGAACCTAGTGAGGTGCAATATTAGACTAATATACCCAAAATAGATGGTTTCGGCGAGATTTGCCATGAGGATGTTTTACTCAGACACCCATAAGGGTATTGGTACACTAGGAGTTTGGGTAAATTAGGTATCTGCTAAAGGAGATCTACCATGGGGATGCTTTGCCATGTGGGTACCATAAGACACCCATAAGGTTATTGGTACATTAGGCGTTTAGGTAAATCAGAGATTTGTCTACGAGGATTCATGGGATGTAAACGCCTCCTTAAGAGTCTAATACTATTTGTGACAGCGTTACGGTTATTTCTTTTACAGCTGATGGTGTTCACCAATCAGTTTCGTATCAGCGAGCAACCAGCTTATTTACGAGAAATCCATGATTTAGTACTTGGTATGATGCTGGACGAGAGACTTGAGGTGAGTAGACAAACGAGTCACTGAATTAACATAAACAATCCTTACCTCAGCCTTATCAAAACCATTGGCACTGTTCCTATGATTATACATGCTCACTATAATAATTATCAATAAATATTCCCTGATATTCACTAAACCTGAGGTGAATAATTTAGTATTTTTAACACAAGTGAATGTAATAAATAACGGAGAAAGGTTCTTTCCAAGTTTTATTTCTCTGCAATCGGCACACAACGAACAACCTTCTCGTGTTGAGAAAATATTACTCGTTCACTGCGCTCACTGTTAAGATATGACCTCAACACTCGAAGAAAAAGTCCGTATCTCCGCGCGGCCATGTAATGTCCTCTATTTATATGATGCCTGAGTTATCTAACATTATGTGCATTTGGTGATCGCAGGTTCGTGAAATGGCAGCGGAAACCTTCAGTGGCCTTCTTCATTATGGAATATTCACCTTGGAAAAAGATGTTCAGGTGAGTGATAAGAACGAATGATGATAAGAACGAGTGACTGACAAACTGTGCTGTGATTTAGAGAAGATTTATTTTTATATGCCTGTATTATTTGTTGTAGGAGAAATTCAGGAAGATGGCCAAGACTAAGCTCAGCAAGAAGCGCAAGGCAGGTGTGGCTGGCAGCGAAACACCAAACGGCGACAGTGGTACGTTGTATTTCTCTTACTTTTCAGGGACGTAACCAGGGGTCTTGCAGGGTAGGTGCACAGGAAAGGGAAATAGAACTATTGCTAAACGAACGGCCATCTTGAGAAGTGGTCTAACGTTCTAAGAACCAAAAAAAAAAAAAAAACCAAAAACAAACCAACAAAACATAACACAATAATCCAACAATGGATGGACGATAAAAATAATGAATGGGTCAGCGGACCTTCAGCTTTTGCGCTGGAGTAGGGGGGCTTCACTTGCACCCAATTTACCCCCACCCCCGGTTACGACCCCATGGAAACTATTTTCCACGGTAAAAATTAGATTGGAACTCCCTTTTGGAAATTCAGTTGCTCTTATAGGACTATTTGTGGACCCACACCTCGGTATTTTCTAATGGTTCTATTCTTCGCCCAACCTGTAAGGAAGGGTTTATATCCAGTCACGTTTATCTTCTTTACATCCATACTTGTTAAAATCAGCATTTGAGTTGAGTGTTGTGTGTGTGAGTGGTGTGAATAGTGTACTGTAGAAGTAGTCTGTGTGGAGCGAACCTTACGGAAGAGCCCCTTACAGGAGGTGATGATATTAAGACATGATTTTTTTTAAATGTTCTGTAAGAAAGCTAAACTAATCTTTTTTTATTAGTTAGCAACTTGACCATAACATAAAAGAATCCATAATTCCAAAATAAATTGTTCTGATTATTTTCTATAATGTGATAAGGATTTTATTGCCTTGTAGTATGCTAAAATATAACTTTTTTTGATTCTTAGAGCATCTTCTGAAGCGTCACGCAGGCGTGTTGGGGTTAGCATGCTGTGTGAAGGCTTTTCCTTATGACGTACCTACCTGGTTACCTGAGATGATCATCGACCTGGGAAGTCACTTACACGATCCTATACCAATAGAAGTGAGTACGCTGTTCATGCAGCCTTATGTTCTTATTGTTATCGTGTTAACGTTTGAATCATTCACTAGTCATACGACTAGAGATTGACATGCAACTGTAAATAGACACTTGCATGTGACGTCAAGGCAGCTCAATTTAGAGGACAAAACAACAGAATTTCAATCTCATGAGAATTGGAAACCTATTGTTATGTCCCCCAAATTGAGCTGCATTCCGACATGCTGCAAGGGGGTCTATTCATTGAGAGAGACTTGTAACTTGTCACCAATAAGAGACAAGCTAAAAGTAAAAGATGATGCTAATATTCATAATTCTACAACCAAGAAAGCGCAAGGCGTCTGAGTTCTTGAGCTGTGCTTGTCGCAGAATTATGAAAATTAGTATAACGAAGTGATACAACTGCAGTTGAGTAATTAATGCAGTCCTCGTTTCAGATATTTTATTCAGCCGTTGTCTTAGGTCAATTGCCTAACCCTTCCAACGCATGACCAATTTAATTTCATTCGTAAAAAATGAAAATAATGTGAAGCCATAAATTCCTTTCGTAACCACGTGATCTTGCCACCTGTGGTCATATGACTGGGTCAATAACACATGACTGTATATAATGCTATTTACAGTAAATGATCGCTGATCATTTAACCTTGGCCAAATGCGAGTGCTGGAAATGCGCACGTATAAAGTTATTACTGATCGCTTTGAATACCCTGAAACTCTTCTAAAAAAATGAAGGGTCAAGTTTTTCCTTGCTTCGTCATGTTTGCTGATTTCTTAATCGTTTTGTAGACCACAGTAAAGAATGCGCTTTCTGATTTCCGTCGAACTCACCACGACAATTGGCAGGAACACAAGCAGATGTTCACTGAAGACCAACTTGTCATCTTAACTGACCTGCTAGTGTCTCCCTGTTATTATGCGTGAGGTGTCTTATCGTTCATAGACTATCTTTGCCTATGAACCTTAAAGATACCCGCATAAAAATACGCTGGAATACCAGACAGGATTCCCGTTTCAAACAAGACCTCGTCTGCGCAAGCCGCACAAACGACCAAGTGATAAACAACTCAGACGTTTGCGCAGGATTTCCCGTCGTGTAAAGGCAAAAGATCTTTTGCGTAACATCACAGCGGTTCATTAATGGTTTTATGATTTGTTTTCACAAAACGTCCTTGAGTTTCTTTCGCACTCTACAAAAGTCCCGTACCATTGACAGGTAGAAAGATTAAGAAAAACCGTCTTTTAATGGCGAGTGCTTTTGCGCAAATTCAGGTTTAACGAAGCACGCGGCAAATGATCCCGTTTTAGAATTATTCTCATTTGTTTAACTGAACTGAATGCCTTCCTTGTAAAATACCCTATTTGGTGGAAGGAGGGTAGGGAAGGGGAAAGAGGGAAGGGGAGGGAGGGTAGGGAAGGGGAGGGAGGGTAGGGAAGGGGAGGTAGGATAGGGAAGGGGAGGTAGGGGAGGTAGGGGAGGAAACGAAACAGTTCGTCGGTTGTCGAAAAAGACAGTCAACCAAATTTTTATTAGTTACATTATTGATAATCATCCATCTTGCAATCATCTTCATATCGAACCATTATGATTTTATATTCATGATTCAAAGTATACGAAGATAACCCCTAACTTGCGTTTAATGTAGAATCCAATTGTTGTTTTATTTAATATTTTAGTCAAATAATAGCGCAATGGAACAGATAGCTGTCAATGGAAGAATTATTCAACATCCATATACGTTATATTATTAATTAAAAACACCTGTCATACTTTTTTAGATTCCATCTCATTTTGTGTTAGTGTTCTAACGCGGCTAGATGTAACGAATATTCATTGTAGAATTTGAAATGGTCTCGAATATATTTTTATGATTTAATTGAAATATAATGCTCGAGTTGATTGGCCTGCTGCCGTGTTTAGAGCAGAGGACACGCTCGCGCAAAATCGTTTAAAAGTGTTTCATAAAGGCAATATACTACGACTGTTTACGACTCTTGTGATGTAAACACTCTGGGAGCTTAAAGAATTCGAAAAGCAAGAGAAACACTCGCTGTAGCTGGAGGCTACGCCTCGTTTTTCGTTTGCTTCTCTTTGCAGCTCACATCGTGTTTATTATGACTGAACAACAGAGACATGCGCGCACGCGAGCTGCCTGTGGCTGGAAAACGCACGCGATGGTGAAGGTTTAGGGGATTGTCATTGTATCATATTTTTTCATAGTTATTTTGCTCACGATCTTTACAGTTAAAAAGCGTACAAAAACTGTGCCTTCAATTCATAATTCCAAAACGCTCTGAAACTTCTCCGAAGATTTTTTATACAAATTTAATTATTCGTGCGCAGACGAATATATACACAAGTCTGCACCAATCACCTTTTAGCAGTTGCACCACAGGTAGCCCAGTGAAATATAAAATATCTGATGGTAGTGTGCTCCTTCAAATGGCACAGAGTTTCGAAATTCCAGCCTTTTTCATTTCGATTTATAATCATTGAATTTATTTTCATACTTTATGAAAACTATATCTTTTCGTCGCTAAGTGTATTACAAAATCGAAGGAGAATCATTTAATTTATATGTGCAGACTGCGTTGGGGTATATTGTCTACGGTTAATCAAACATTTCCATTTCCAGACTGGTATGACTTTGGGGGAAGAAAGCCAAACACAATAATAAAAGGCGATAGCGTAGGCTGAAGACATCTGAGCGCAAAAGCATAAGAAAGCGCTCTATCGTAAGACGCTAAACTCAACAGAGCCCACTGTATTTGGCATAAAAACTGTTGTGGTGTCCCTCTTTTCATGGGAAAGGTTAATAAATAAAATAAGATAAAAATGAAAAATTAAACGCGTCCTCTCTCATGAATTCAAATGTATTTGAAAATAATTTCTTCCGCACTGATAACACTTTCGAATCATTGCTACAATATTTATCAAAACACGCCCGTTTACTCAGCTAAATGATACGCCAAGAAAAAACAACCCCGTGAGTAAACTAGTTAAGAGCTTGCGTTGGTGTATCAATCATAAATCCTAGTAATAATAGGAAGATTTTCAAAAGCATCAAGGAAACGGCAAACACGACTACATGTTCCCTGCAGTTCACGTTGCCTTTTGCAAACCTTACCAAAGACTATTATTTCATTTTATTTTCCTTCTACTTGGAGATTTTTGCGATACCTGACGTGTCGGATGTTATTTCTTCGTAAAGAAATGTCAACTGTTGACGCAGATTTTAAAAAAATCTCAAACCACAAATGTTTCTCAATAATAATAATGGCATTTTATTGGTTGTTTTAAGCGATTATGTTACAAGAATTTTGGCTAATGCAGCGTTCGTTTCTAAAACCGTATTCTGATAATCAGTCAAACTCTGGTAAATTGTATGTTGATTTAAAGAGGGGTGGGGTTGTGGAATGGAATGTAATGGATTTCAAGATTAGTGTGTTTAAAAAATATTACTTTTAGAAATGAAAGATGACTTAGTGTGTGCAAATTATGATCTCGGCTGTTGAAGGTTTTTAAAATCTCTGTATGTTCTAAGTTTAATATCGATAATTTCAAATGATTTCCCCTATACAATATAAATAAAATAACAAATTGAACCTATGCGGTTTGTTCAATGGAATGTCCCAAGGCAACTGAAAGAATATTGGTACTAGTAGGAGCTATAACAGTTTTTGACCACAACAAGCGCAAAAGTTATCAACACTGCTAGCCTTTTTGCCGCAGTTCGTACAATAACGACACTTTGAGCGTTCTTCAGTCAGTGATTTGAGAGGTTCTGTCGTCGGTGCCAGATCGGGTTTTCGGGACAAAATATTCCCCATACTAAAGCTGTATTCACTGACTGGCGGTTTGGGTTTAAAAAGCGGCGGAGGTGGAGGATATCGGCAGTTAACTGGTAGAGCTTGTTGGAACGTGTGAGAGAAGGATTCTGGTTTACGATGAATAAAAGGTGTATGTATCCCTGGATACCTGGAGCCCGGGTAGCCTGTTAGTAGAGGCATTGGCATCGGCATTATAGGCTTACTATTCTTTTCTTGGTTTGACAAAAGACATTCAATAGCTTGGACTACATTCCCATTACAACCCTGTAGGACCATTTCCAGCACGCTCTTACAATGGCCAGGAAATGCTCTTGTTAATAACCCAATTGGGTTGGGATGTAACTTTCGATCGATTGGTCCGTGGTTGGTAGGACTTTCTGTCTGACGTGCCGCCTTTGAATGTGGTTCTTCGTCTGCTTCGTCAGGGTGACCTTCACCGCTTAACTTTCTTTTCGGAGATCTTGGTGTTTCTGGTGTTGGGATGCTGTTTTCTGGTTTGTCTAGTGAATCTTCATCGATGTCATGGTTGGGTTCTGTTTTGATTCGAACTCCTTCTGGGAGAGATATCGTTTCGTACTTGGATGTTTCTTTGCCACTTTCATCTGTGTCTTTCTCTGAGGCAACCGGAGAGCTCTGGTAGGATAGATCTCCATCTTCTGAAATCGAAATTTTTTTATTTGTTTAATCCACTAAATGCATAGATATTATTTCTCACATGTAAATATCTTATGTTTCTATCAAAGTATACAGACAAACAAGGCCATCTGAATTATCAATACTCGGGGTGTACCCCGCAACAATCAACGGCCTCTTGTCCCACTGAAATGAGCCACCCTCGAATTACAAATGATGGAAATAGTGGCGGTTCTAGAGCCTGCTTCTCACTAGTGACGCAGAATCTGCAACGCAGTCTTCGTTCTCACAATGACTACGAAAAGAAGCAAGGCAAGCGCAAGAGCGCGGAAGATGACTTGCGCTGACTGGCGCTTCTGCTTGTACTTATGCTCGTGTTGGCTTGCGTCGCTAGTGAGAAACTGGCTTACTGAATGACTATTGGAAAAGTTAGAAACCAAGCGGCTTACCGTCGCTGTCTACAGGAGTGTGTATAACAGATACCATTTGATTCAACACCATGGATGGCCTCATAAAGGACTCCTCTGAGTACGACGACCTCTCGTCTTCGACGCCATCCGACGAATGATCCAGAACTCGACCTTTCCTTGTCTCCGCGTTTTTGCGCTGTTGTCGAAGCAGAGCCACTCGTGCGGCGGTTATTCTTTGTCTCTCAGCGATCAGTAGACATTTAGAGCAGGTACAATCCCGCCATCGGCAGTAGTGTTTGTGGCCCTTTAGCCATGACAGAGCGCCATGATTGCGGCAACGAGCGCATTTGGGGATGCGGTTGTATAGCGCTGTTCCTGGTAGTGGTCCTTGAGGAATCATATCGCTCATCCTGGTAAACGAATCAACAAATCAGTTATCTACATAATAACGACCCCCAATAATTAATCATATCTGAACGTTTAGTACTTCTCAGTAATAATTGTAAAATAATGAGAAAACAAAAACAAAAAACCTAGTGTATGAAGTCATGGTAATTGCGGACTGGTTATGAAAACCGGGCAAACTTCAAAGTCAACTAGCCATTTTTACATTTTTGCGAAAAAAATGTTGGCTAAGATTCTTTCCCAAAAATGGGATTCATGGGCAAGTAGAATTTTGTGAAAAAGTTTGATAATACTTGCGCAAAGTAAAAGGATACACGATTTCCACTAAATATGTAACATATTTTTTCCTAGCGAGATACTCTTCGATATTCCATGATCATAATGAAACAGAAAATTAATATTTATTAGATAGTTTCGATCCATTTTCTCTGCAAATGATATATATTCTATTTATCTGACAGTGTCCTGATTTGGTTTAGTTTTGCGCCAAGGCCGAGTTACATAATCACGTAATCGTTGTACCTAGTCTCTAAGAGTCTACTTAAACTTATGCAGCACCTCTTTCTTTACGCCCCTTTTGCCGTACAAATCAAATTGTTGGTGTTAAACTCTGAGAAAAAAATAGTCAAACCAAGTGAACTGTTCTTGATGAAAGTCTACAGGTTGAATGTTCTTAGACTTATATTAGGCGTGAGAAATTGCTGATAGTTTAAACAGTTAGGGAAAAAAATCAACGAAATTTCGAAAAAAAGAAAGAAAAGAAATGACATTCATGGCAATAATATGAAATAAGAGCTCTGAAAAAAACGGAAGCTCAGATTTGTCCTATAATCTCATAATTCTATAAGATATCTTCAGATATTTTCTGATCTCTTATTTTATATGGTTGCCGTGTATAATTTCGTTTGATATATTTCTCTTCATCTTCTAACGTAAAAAAAAAAAAAAATGATGATTTTAGATGAATTTTAGTGTGGCAAATATAATCTTATAAAGTTTCATTCGTAACGTAATATCAGTTAAACCAATAGTCAGATTATTAGAAAAATCTTTGAAAATTTTAGTAAATCTTTTAGTAGTTGACTTGATTTTTGACACTTTAAAAAATGATAAAAATTAAAATAAAAAGAATAAAATAGTTTATAAACTTTACCTTTTTAAGGAGAGGTAAGCCTGATTGATATACAGTTTTTAAACGTACTCAGGTGAGCTCAATCCGCGATGGAGCTCTTTTTCTACTCGATGTGAACTGAACAAAGACTTCCACTTAACTCATCGAGCGATTTGAGTTTGTTAATCAAAAAAGGTCTTTTATAAACTTTTGCTGAATTTTTTTTTTGTTATAATAAAATGAATATATTTAAGGCAATTTTAATTGTTCAAACAATAGCATGTGAAAAACTAACTACAAAGAGTAGCACGTGTACGCCAAGATTCCGTCAATGAGATGTTATTTTAAACAAAATCGGCTTAACTTGGAAACTAATTGGCGAGCTAAAAAACCTTTTGTTATCAAGAACCACTTACTTGAAGAAACAATCTTGTTATCGTTTCTCTAAGTTTTTTTACAGTGTTATGTGGTGTGCCTCTATATTGACGGTAAATTGAGTGAATGTGACTAGATTATAAATGAAAAAAAAAAGTTATCGTCGAATCCGATAGGAAAAACTTCAACTTGAGCTGCAATATTAGTGTGCATGATCACAGAGTTGCCGATAACTTTTTTTCGATTTTCCATTTTATTAGTTTCTTCCCTTCCTCTCAGAACCGATAAAAAATTCATTTTAAAATCAAACTGAATTGTATTTCAAATTCAACTGAAGTCTTTAACAAAACGAACATTAGTGTCATTTCCTACTAAAGATATATTTTTTGGCAAAAGTGAGAATTTTAATTTACTTTCCTGGTTGTATTATAGTTACTCCGGTTTATTTATTTACACCTTTTTATAGAAATAATCTTAAACAAACATTGTATTTAAGTTTATGGGATAATCATATCTGCACCTGCTCTAAACTTACACCTTTTTGCGCTTTTTCGATTAGTTTTAGTTGCCTCTTTCCCACAGGAACTCAACTGAGAAGAAACTGATTTCATATTGGCCGACATGGAAGTAGCTTTCGTGGGTTTCAGAAACACCTTCCTAGGATTTCTATTGGAAGGGTATTGTATGCTGCTTGGGGAAAGAAAAACGTGATTTGGAGCCTGGGAAGTGAACATTCGGTCATAACTAAAGCGAAGTAGAAGGTCTTTGTTTATAAAATTGAGTTCATTAGTCAAATACAGAGCAATAGATTCGCTCGTTTGCTTTATATCTCACTTGTCTTTGTTTGACCAAAAATCAATGTTGAATTGGATGATAATGAAGTGTGTGGTCCAGAGATCTCTTATGTAACCAAACCATCAGAATGGTTGCCTTATAGTCAGTAAAGTAAAAATAAAATTTCACAACAATTTCTCATTTTCACTTGATGCTTCGTTTTAAATTAGAAACTGTAACAATGTCCAATAACTTGCGCTCGTTTCAAAAATGTGCGGTAAATAATAACAAGGTCCTTAGAAGCCAAACCCATGTTGAACAAGCATATATTTACTTATTATGTCAAATACGTCCCTTTTCCTATAATTCTGAATACTCGGAAGTACTTAATTACTGCAGAATATTTAACCCAAAGCATTGCAGTCAAAAGGGATTCAGTTCAAGATTCATCAATGATTACTTAACTCGAATCGGTAATTTAGGTCAGATTCTTAAGTCTTATTTATCAAAAAGGATTAAGATACCATTTTGCAAGAAACAAATGAGATGAAGAGCAAAAATCATATTCAAAGTTAGTGATTTACTAAACTAGAAAACGATTGTTACGATATAGATTATAGACACCAAAGCAAGGCTAAAGCAGCATATTTTACCCTTTTGTCAGTTGCCAATGAATTTCCTTTCCTAAAATTACCGAATCATGACTTTCCTTTACGTTTGCCTAAAATTGCAATAAAAAAATTGCCTAACTAAATGTGCTATTCACAAAAAAGGGTTTTAGATGATATATATCTTTATCTATCAAGGTAGTCACTTTCGTAATAGTTAATTAATGTCGATTAAATGGTCTACATTATATRTATATATGTATATAGCACTTATAGTGTATTGTATGTAAGTGGAGCGTATAGATATTATTAATTATATATATATATATATTGCTTTTATTAACTTTCAATATATACACGATCATATTTTAGGAGTTTTTCCATTTTTGCATGTCATTAGATATTTGTATATATGCAATGTACAACCTTTCTGCAATCGAGTGTATAAATATGAGCACTTATAATTGCAAAACGGTGTATATATTTGCATCGTTTTGCAAAAATTCTGCAAAACTCATCTATCAATATATTTATAAATTAACAATTTCCAAATTCTTTAAAAATAATTATTATAAGTGCTCGGTCTGTTGTGCGGGAGGTCGTGGTTCAAGCCTCGGCCAAACCAACACTTAGAGTCTTAAAATAGCTGAGTAGAAGGTGCTGCCTTTGTAATAATATCTGCAAATGGTTAGACCTTCAAGTCTTCTCGGACAAGGACTTTAAACCGTAGGCCCTGTCTTCTAACCCTTCCTAAATAAACTACAGTAAAAATAGGGGACATAAAAGAACCACTGAGGACGTAAAGAAACCCTGGCAGTGACCACCCTCGGTGCCTACACTTCATACTAACCATCTCTCATGCTTGTAAATTGCATAAAAAGCAATCTGTCATTCACAACTCCATGTAAAGCGCTTTTGATTATATCCACATATAAAAGGGCGCTATATAAATCATCATCATTTCAAAAAAAAAAATTCAATTTCACTCGACTGCAGAAAGGTTGTATATTACATATATACAAATATCTAATGACATGCAAAAATGGAAAAACTCCTAAAATATGATCGTGTACATATTGAAAGTTAATAAAAACAATGTTATGCCTTACTTTGATGCAAGACACGTCAAATACGTAAGGTTTTTAAGTATCGGATATTATATAAGTATATTTGTATATTTTCACTTTTTTGGCCTTAAAAGTCTCTAATATATATTTAATAACATCCCATTGCGTTCAAATCATATTTTTTATATTCTCATATATTTTTTATATTCTTATATTTTTTGTATTCTCAACAACATCTCGAAAAAAAAATTTTATATGAGGAACGAGTAGTAGAGTTATTCTTTTTTTTTTTTTCATGTTTTTGCATCTAATTAGGTATTTGCATATATGTATAAATGTATACTACAACCTTCCTGCTATCTATATATATATATATACATATATACACCTGCACAACTATATGAGGATAGATTTTCATTGTATATGGAAAGTAAAGCGATGAAGTGAAATCATACTAAAAGTTAGCTTTGAAGTGTCTTTTAGGTAATTCTTACCTAAGACTGATAGTATTTCTTGAAAGTAATTATCCCGGGAATGCATTACTGAAGTAACTGAAATCAAAACCAGGGCATGAGTTGATTGGAGTAATATAAGCACTACTATAACGCTTTAAGACAGCTGCATGCGTAGATATATAACGCTTATTAAGTAAAAATCCGCTGTATTTCGTTATAGGATGTGATATAGTGACCAAAAATCAAACAACCTAACAAATAAACACTTCCAACTCAATATCTTGTAAACATCAATAAACCATGGACCTTGAATCTAATACAGTTTAAGAAAAAATATTGAAAGATTTCACGACGGTTTCACTTTCATTCTCGGTACATTTACGAACGATAAAGCATGATATTGTCTGTCTGTTGTCCTTCAAATCAATGATGCTTAAGTAGTGTTAAAAGAAACCAATCTTTCCTTTATTGATTAAGAGAATAGATCTCGTGGGAACGACTGCATTGGTTTGTCTAGTCTATCTTAGACTTTAATAGAGTATGATATGAATTTTGGTCGGTAATGCGAAGAGATAATCAGTGCACAATAGGCAAAAATTAAACGAACTAATACGTCGGAAAAAAAACTTGCTGACCCTCCATTAGCTATTTTAGGTTGCGATGACGACCTAAACTTATAACATCGAGAAAATCTCTTTTGGCCACTTTCTTTCACAACTGAACAAAAATAAAGTTTCTTTAAAATGTGCCAAATTCATTTCAGTAAATAGAAATATTTACTATTTACATATTTAGAAATTTTTTGACAGCTTTGTAAGCTCAAGACTGTAAAATTCGTTCAAAAAAGGTTCTAGGAGTTCTGAATGACTGCTTACAAATTCGATGTTCAGTAGGAATCGCGAGAAATCACAGAGAGATACTGTAAAATCAGAGTCAGCGATACCTTGGTTATTACCAGACGTTTTCTGGCTTAGCAACAAAGGAACTATTGAAGTCGTACTCGTTCGTAGAGAGATTACAAGGATKTCATTAGTTGAGTGAATACGTCCAGTTTCATCAATCAAATGAGAAATCAGAAGAAGTGGTAAAAATTCGGAAAACAATCAATTTCTTCCCCCTTTTAATTTTCTAATGCACTGAATCATTTTACACCCGAGGACTTTCATTCATCAATGTATAAATGAGTGTATATTATTTCAAAGGATTCAAAAATAGCTGATACGTAAAAGTCAAATAATAGCTAAAAAATCTCTCACTATTTGAGAGAAGCCTCCCTTTTTGGCGTCCACCTTGGACGACCTTGAACTTTACATTATTACTTTTGGTTATCTTGATCTCTAATTATCCTCCCTCTATTATGATTTTCGTCACACTCCGGAAGCTGCAAAACCTGTGACCAAACACCCTCTACCTACCAAATCAACAAGGAGTCGGTTCGGCACAGGAATCCCGATACCAAAAAAATCGTAATTGACCAGTTGAGTGTTGTTGTTTTTTTTCGCGGCCCGTTATTTTGTGTAACTATAAATATTATATCGAGCATAAGCTTTTTCAATCCAAATATGAACTGCGTTAGGATCGTAATGGTCGTTTTAATGTCTAGACGGATTTCAAGAGTCTTTTAATCGGGTTCTATCACCGAGTCAAGTCGTCTGCGTAGAAGCTCTCGAGAAGTTAAGTTTCTACTTGCCAAGTAAAGCATAAGGTATTATTAATTGTAATTTGCTACTAGAAAATGCCTTAGAAAAAACCTAGCTGTACTAACTGTATCAGAAAAAGAACTTTTTTTTACTTGGAATTCCTTTTTAATGTTTTTTTTTCTCGGATAAAGTCAAATAGTTATAAAGGGCACCAAAACCATAAGCCATTACAAGAGGGCACATGTTAAGAGACGTGAGTCAAAACAAATGATCGTGCGTAGTCAGTACATTTCTTTACGTCATTCAGTAATCCCGATAACAACCTCAATGTAAACAGTCCCTCTTTATCGTTCCCTTGCGGCCGGTAAACAACTTACCTGAGCGGAAGCTGGGGCGAGGGTTTCTGACCTCGGCAAGGAAACCGTGGTTGGTGCAGCTAAATTTATTCAGCCTTGAGATGGTGCGTGGTGTCTGTCTTCTTGGGTTTATTAAATAGTCACAAAAATCCAATTATTCAAGCAGATGTACGTCGGTTGGTGAAAAATGAAATAGTATTTCCAACTTATTTAAGGCCCCTTCGAACGAAGGGTACTCGCAAAGCTAAGATTTTTGGCCCTTCAAAAATCGCTTCGAGAGACGAGAAAACAGTAGGGTTACCCTTTCTTAAAACCGGAGCTATAACCGGTATTTGAGCAGCGTTCATGATGGCATGTCGTATATGCAGTACTATCCTGGCAATGTTGACCACTTAGACAAGGGTTAAGGTCCTAAGAAACATGCGAAAAGGCTTGAGCTTTAATTAAGATTACGTACTGGACAAAACTTGCGGTAGGCCAACTTTCAGTACACGATTGAAATAAAGTACATCCTGGTAACCGAATCCGTCAGAATGCGTGGCGAGCTATCATCGTGAAATATCTAGCTGTACTTGTTCGTACAATGACTTGGCCTAGAAATTGGAAAAAGTATCATAAATGTCCGCTTTTTTTGCGACGGCCGACTGGTAACATTACTGGTATAGAACTTTCCTCGACTTAAAAAAGACATTTTCTTGTTGCACATCCTTTATCGACGTAATTGCCAAGTCAAACTCTAGGTAACGGCGAAATTACAGACGAGAATAGAGAATGTTAACGGCTTAGTTTGGGTCAAAATAATCATCGACTAAAAAAAGCGGAATACCTCGGAAACGCTTTATTTATTATTTATTATTCATTATTTTTTGACGCGCACAAAAATACTTTTTATATAAACCTTATTTTCCTGGCTCTCTCGGAAGGCTTCTTTGAGATTGATGCGACCTTTGTAAACCTATTAAAAATTAACTAAAAATGGAACATACCGAATATCTGTATCGGTCCTTCTAAATTTTCTTATACATTTACATGGGTACACGCTAAAATTCTCTACTACGAAGTTTTTTACGCGGCGTTTAAGCTTCCTTCTTATTCAATTGTTGTATTCAACACAACAACGCAGTCAAAGCTAGTGACTGCTCAGTCATTATCAGTTTCTCGGTTCCACAATTGGCATTTTTATTAACTAACCGCTTACCATTAAAACTCCGCGCCTATTGGTGTTTACCGTGCACAAATTCTACCTACTTTTAGCATTCGTGTAGTCAGGGCTTTTTTAAAGTATCAGTCTTTGTTGCCATGCGTGATAGTGTTTAGACACAGCGTATATCTTCTCATCAACACCAGAACACGAAGGGCGTACAAAAACCCATAAACTCGCATCAATAAGACCAAGAATTGAACAGTTGTTAATAAAGAAGAATTACTTAAAACATTGATAGCTATTTTAAGCCAATCCCTTGACAAAAAAAGCCGGTCCCTTTTAGCATGCGGCGTTAATGTTCGTATGTTGTTCGAAACTTAATTTCTCGAAATAAAATGGTCTTTTTTAACATTAAATCCCCGAATCATTATCCTTTAAAAGGAATGTTAAGCCAGTTATGTGAACATAAACATTAGTATTTCCTCGATTTATCAAAGTCTAGACCAAATAAAATCTAGCCGTTACTTAACCTTACTATAAGTTGTATGATTGATTGAGGATACTTTATTCTTAATCTATTTACGTGGGCAATCTTACTAGGACTGACCAATTCAATGTAATTCGTCGAGCACACCAAAGAACTTCTAAAGCGCAAGCATGAGTCCCAATGAAATCTGATCGATATGTTTTTACGACGTGGAGTGAAGGAAGCGGTTTTGAGATTCCGGAATTTTATGAGGCGTAGTGTAAATTTATTGAGAAGTCGTCAAATTCAGACCCTTAGGGTGGCTGGTAGTCCTGATGCGGTAAAAAGAATAAAACGAATGAAATAAATTTTAGTGTTTTGGCAATCGGCCTAATTTCCGTCTTCACCAAGCAGTCTGTGATGAGGGCACTTTTTTTGCCTGACCGATAGTAGAGTTAAAGTATTCTCGTAAACATATGGCCTAAAAAACGGTGCAATTTTCCAATATTCCCCTAGTCTTATGAAAGTGAATACTTCACAGAACAATACCCATTGTCATGGCAGTGTTATTTTCTGTAATGATTGTAATAGCCTTTTCCGAGGTTTTAGAATGTCTTTTAACCAGTTACTAGGGAATAACCGTCTGAGATGTCACTGATGAGAAATGAGTTACCAAAAATAGATTCCAAGATTCGACGGGCGGAAACCCAATTATAGAAGAACTCAAAACTTTTTTTTTTCAATTTCGGCAGTCGTACATCAAGGCCTAAGTTTTTTAAATGTCTCTCAAAACATTAAACCTTGGTATTCATTTGTGAGCCCATCTGTACGATTCTAATAACCAATATCCCAACTACTTCCCATCAAGTATCACCATCACCAAGCCACCCGCTATGTTCTAAGATTTCTAACTAAATTATAAAGGAGTTCACATCCACCGACGCCTTAGCCTTAGGGATACTGAAATGTCCCGAGTAATTGCAAGTACATATATTTTGTGGCTTCCCTTGTAGCGGTTCCCTTTTTATGCTTAACAATGTATATGTGTATCAGTTCCGTCTACACACCATGATCACGTCCAGTTTGTCTTTATCTTAAGGACATTGAGTTTATCGAAGATCAGGTTCAAATAGGGTCGAGCTGCTTCCGACTGTATTTTACTTAACACGATGCTTCAACAAGCACGCCGTATTAGCCGCCCGATCTGTCGGAACGGAAATTCCACAATTCTCAATCAACAAATGCTTTTTAATGATGGTTTCCAACAGCTCGCTCGTAAAAGTAAATTCAGTTTTCCTCCGCAAACCTGGCTCTAGGGTTCAAAATCTCGTACAATTTAACCCCCAAAGACTCAATGACTAGGAAATACCACCAGTAATATTTCACAGTCCACTATCTGCCTTGTTTTTCTTGAAAACTAGTTCAACGGAAGCAGCCATCGACGTAAAAAAGGCTCGAAAGAGGCGTTTGAACGCCAACGTACACCGGTCTAGATAGCGCTCAGATCACGCACGCACAAGTCTCAAATCGGCCACCTTTTTCTCTCCCCAGTCACAGGGCTCCCGCGTCCAGAGCATCTTATTACATTGACGAAAGTAACGACTAAAGTATTTCCGGTCTTTTACGTGCACTTTCTCGATAATTCAGGAACTGTTATTTCTATAATAGCGGCATAAAGATCTGGCTGGCTAGAGTGGTTACATTAACTGTACCAAAATAATGTTTTATAGTAAACAATATATTCATTTCAAAAGAATGAAGAAATATATACTTCTGTTATGAGGATAGATCATTTAAAATTACAAAAAGAAGAAAAAAAGAAAGAAAAAAAAAAAAAAAAAAAAAAAAAAAA